GCCAGTGTCCCCTTTGTCTCCCTCCTCTCACTCCCTTTCCACTCTTAAGATTTCAGGACCCCACACCGGGGCAGAAACAAAAGCCACTCCCTGTCCAGAGAAGGGACATGGAGCCCTTTCCTCTCTGAGCAGCTCTGACCCAGGCAGCCTTACTCTCAGATCAGGCTGTAACCTGCAGCCCTGTCCCATTCATAAAATGGGAAACTAAGGCACAGGCTGGGGCATTAAATGGCCCTGGGTCCCAGACCAAGGTAGTGAGTTTCAAGATACTTCCTCTGAGCCCTGACCAGGTAGCTCAGTTGGTTAGAGCATTGTCCTGACACACCAAGGTTGCAGGTTTGATACCCGGTCAGGGCACATATAAGAATCAACCAATGAGTGTCTCTCTCCCCCACCCCCTTCTTCTCTCTCTTTAAAATAAATAAATAAGGAAATAGAATTTTTTAAGGACACTTCATCTGACAAGTCAACAGCACAGCCGAGGTGCTGACAGAACCAACCACAAGGTGCCTGAGCAGGAGGAAGGACCAAGGAAATGGGCAGCTGGCAGTTAGTCACTAGGGTGCAGGCATTCCAGGCTGGCCCTGCGTGCCTGAGCGCTGCCCTGCCCTGCAGGTGCTCCAGAATGCCGCCCTGGGGCCCTGCCCTGCAGACTTTACTTGTGCTGATGTGTCAGAGGCTGGGGCAGGGCTACCCAGGGGGACAAGACTACCTGAGGGGACAGGATGGAGGTGGTATTGACTGTACTTATCCACAAAGACAGCCACAGAGGTACAGCTTGACTTGGCCTCTCCCCACTCCGGTGATCTTGTAAGAGACCCTGGGCCTCCATTTCCCCATCTGTCAGCTCTGGACAGACTCAACCAGGCAGACAAAAAGGAGCCAAGACCCCCCAGCCTGGCAGTTCCCTTGGCACCTGCTCAGGTGTGTGGGGAAGCCCCCAGTCCCTGCCAGGCCTGTGTTCTTGGCTGGGTCCCTATGCTCAGCTATCCTTCTGGGTTTGTGTTAGTGAGCGGTTGCCACAGATACCAGTCTCAGCTTCTTTGGCAGCAAAGGACTCCCCCAGGGCAGGGCTCTGCTTCTCCTCACCCATCCCCACCCCACCCAGTTTCAAGAGCCAATCTGCTATGGGCTGGATCAAAGGGAAAGAACATAGGAAGGGACAGGTATCTCAGAGAAGTTGGGGAAGGATCCAGCTCTCAAATAGTCAGTCTTCAACCATGAACAGGGCCAGCGCTGGCCCCTTCTTGCGGGGCCTGGTTCGAGAAGCAGAAGGCTGCCACCTACACCCTCAGCTGAGCTCCCATTTTACAGATGGAAGAATGAGAGACCAGTGGCAGAGGCAGCTCTGACAGCAAGAAGCAGAGCTGGGAAGAGGGGATCCAGGATGCTCACCTGAGGGGCTCCCTCCTTCTCCTGACCTGGCAGTTACAAGTGGACTCAGAATGGAGAGTGGGTGGCTACCAGGCTGGTGGGGGCCACAGGAGCAGAAGCCACATGCCCTACGGGAGCTCAAACTGCCTCTGTTAAACAGCTGAAATTCAGCTCAGAGTCTGGCCTGCAGAGTCCTGAGTTTCTAGGCCAGAAGCAGGGGGCGTGTCCCACCTCCACCAAGAGAACACTGCAGGGGGTTGTTCTGGTTCTGCTCAGGGGGGCTCTGGTTCTGCTCTGCCCTGCCATGTGACCTCGGATGAGAGCCTGCATTCCCCAGGCATCAGTTGTCCCCATCCTGACTAGGAGGTGAAGGGAAGAGTTTAGAGGGGTTGGTTTCTGGACTACCTCAATTTCATCCAACTGAAGCAACGCTCAGGAAGGAAAGCCAGAGCAGAAGCCAGGCCCTCCTCACCTGCTTCCAGGGCCTGCCGCCCTCAAGGGGCTCTCACGGCCAGGAGGAGAAGCCATAATTAGCTGGCTCACTGGGTGGCGCTGGGAATGCCAGGGCAGAGGCAGAGCCTATTGTTGTTCCCCAGGATGGAGACCAGCCCTGGTGGAGAAGGGAGGGGTTCGAAAAGGTGTCCTAACAGAGAAAGGCCGGAAGGGCATCAGGGCCGGAGCACAGCTGCCACAGAGCACGGGAGAGAAGGCAGCTGACATTTGTGACGCTCTCCTAGGAGTCTGGCCTTGTCCCAGGTGCTTGAGACATTCCTATTTGCTCCACACAACCCGCAAGGTGGAGAGGAGGAAAAGATCACCCAGAAGGCTCAGGCGACATGCCCAAGGTCACACAGCTGGCAGCTGAAGAACCTAGCCTCAGACTCTGATATCAAAGACCCTAGAGCTGTGCTGTCCACTGCAGTGGCCCAGCCACTGTGTCTGTTGAGCACCTAAAGTGACATGTGCTATAAAAGTCAAACACACACAGGGCTTTTGAACTTAATATGAAAAAGAATGTGAAATATCTCATCCATAGCTCTTACATTGATTACATGTTGAAATATGTTTGGTATATTTTGCTGAATAAAATATATTAATTCATTTCGCTTATTTCTTTTTACTTTTTTAATGTGGTTACTAGAAAATTTTAAATTATGTATGGGGATTGCATTATAATCCTTTTGGACAGAGCTAATCTACCAGGAAGACAGAAATTCATGGGACATATTTAAGAGGGGGGAACTCCTTTTTTTGAGGGGGGAGCCAAGACCAGATTGTAAGGTTCTAGGGGGTGGGACAGCTGGGTAGGAACATCAAAAGTGACTGATCAGTGGAGTGTCAGCATCCCCTGGCTTTCTCTCAGCTGGGCCAGCCAGCAACAGGTAGACTCAGGCCTGGAATGGCCATTCCCCAACCCCACCCCAAGACCCAGCAAGCCATAGTAGTTGCCATAGAGACAGTAAATCTTCCTATAAACTGAACTTGGAGCCAGGGGAAATCTACCATAAAGAGAGGGAGAGGGAGCCAGACTCATCCGGAGAGGAAATCTGTGTATGTTGTGTGTTGTGTGTTGGAGACGGGGCGGTGCATGAGCTCTGGCCCTGGCTGGGAAAGGGAGGGATGCACAACCCATGCCGGTGTTTGCACAGGGCTTTCCGGGCCTTCCTCCTTACTGCCCATGCCCCTCTCAGCCACCGTTCCCCATCCCCCCATACCAATTCACCAGAAATTTTCTATCTTCTTCCCCATTCCGATATTCTGACTCTAGGACCCAAGTCCGGGTGGGGGCAGATAAGCACCAGACCTCCCTGATCCCACCCTCCCCCTCAGCCCCTGGCAGAGTCAGCTTCCCTAAGAACATCAGAGGGGGTGGTCTGGGGCCGGAAAAAACAAGTTGGACAGGGCTGCAGTGACAGGAGCAGCACCACTCATTGCTCGGCTGAGAAAGTGGAAAAACGCTTCCTAGGCAAGATTTACTGGTAGAGCTAATGCTATCCTGGTGCACTCTCCAGGCCATCTTGGACAAGAGCTGTACGGGGGCCTCGGATGCCCATCTGTACACCGAAGTTTGTTTTGCATTGACTATAGGGTCCCAATGTTTTCTGACTTCTCCCCACCTTAGGATGGCACTTAAGCTCCCAGGTCCCAGGCAGGCATATGCATGACAGGGGCTGGTGCACTTGGGCCAGACTGGATATTCCTGCCCACCAGACCAAAGTAAGAGCTTCCTGGGGAGAGCCCACACCAGAAACTGGTGCCACTGGTACCCACTTCCAACCTGCAGTGGAAGAATGGAGAGAGCCAAAGGTTTTGAAAGCGGGAGAGAAGGAGGAAGCCTCTGTTCTCCCATCAGAGTTCTTCCCGTCTACTTGACACAAAACCCCAATCAACAGAGGAGGAGACTGAGGCTCAGAGAAGGGACCCAGGTAGCATCTGGTTTATACCAGGGCTCTCATCTCCATCACCACAAAAGTCTCTTTAAAGTCTGTGCAAAATTCCTCCTGCTTTTTTTTTTAGTTCCAGATTTTACTAAGCTGTGGTTAGGCAGGTTCTGGACCAGCACACCAGGTACACTGTCACAGCTCTCCTCCAGCAGGGAGCCCCACCTATGCCAGTCTGGCCAGAGCCCTTTTCTCTCAAGGCTGCACCATTCCCACCTAAGGGCAGCTCAATCCAGGGAAATTCCCTACTCCCAGACCCCTGAGGACTGCGGGAGGGAGCAGGCTGGAATTCCATCCGCATAGGACCCAGGGATCAACCTCACAAAAGGGGAATCAGACCTAAACACAGCTGAGACTGGCCCAAGGTCACCCACGAAGTGCAGGAGGGGCAAATCTGGGACTAAAACCCGGTTGTTCCATGGAACTCCACCCCATCTCCAAGGCTGGTTCCCACAGATGCTCACAGAGGATGAGACAACCCTTCTCTAGCCCCAGTGGCCAGCGCCCTACCCCAGGCCCCAGGCGCCATAGAGCAAGGGGAGGCGTCTCCCGGCCTCCAGCCAGGGCCAGCTGCAAACCGCATCCCGGGTCCCCAGGCGCCACAGACCCGCTCCGCCCCTCCCTCGGCTCCCCGCAGCCCGGAGCCTTTGTCAGCCACGCGCTCACACGCTCGCGCACACATCCACGCTGCCCGCGCGCGCACACTCGGGCTCCTCTAGCGCACACCCGCAAGGGGCGCGCGCGCTCGCCGCACGGACGCAGGGGAGTGGAGGTGGCGGAGGAAGGAAGGAACTGACCGGCTACGGACCCACAGACCGCCTGGACTGGGGGAAGGGGAGGACAGGCCTGAAAACCTGAGGTGGGGGCGGAAGGGGGCGCAGAGGCGAAAAGGCAGAGACGTAGAGGAGACTCGGAATAAAGGACAACGGATGGGACGTCAAGGGCTGGGGAGGACGCACGGGCTGCTCCAGGGCTGGGACACCCCCAATCCTTGGCCCTGGGTGCGGGGCGGTCCCTGGATTGGACCCTTGGATCACGGGGCATCACCTGCCAGTCGTGCATCAGCGGAGGGCCCTTAGGGACCCCACGTAAGGCTTGGATATAGGGGGCCCGGGGCCACAGGCTCCCCGGGGTACCTCGAGGCGGGGGGTTCTGATTCTCGGGCTGGATGGGGCACTAGCTCACCTACTACGGTGTACCTGTCCAGGTAGTTGAGCACGTTGCCCAAGCTGAGGATGGCGGCGGCTGCCCCTCGCCTGCGGCCCAAGCTGGCGGGTTTGGGCTGCTGCGCGCCGGGGCCCTTGGCAGCGGCTGCACAGCTGGGGGTGCCGGGGGTGCTGGGAGGTCCCGACGGGGCCCTCCTCACGCTGCCCGACAGCGTCTGCACCTCCTCGTCGGCGGCCGCGACTCCAGCGGCTCCCGCTGCCCGCGCCCCGCAGCAACTACCACCGCTAGCTCCTA